TACCGTAAAAACTCTTGCGATTCGCCATCGGTGAAGTCGCTAATCTCGGGATTCAGAGACAAGATCGCTTGAGAAGGATTAGCGCTTTCCCGACATGGTATAGCCTACGCGCTTTGGCCTTGTTTGACCTCATTAACTGTTTTTCGCAATTCTGTTAACATGCCAAACTAAACCCATCGTGGGCTGATTACTCGATTGACAGGGATAATCCGATGGCGAATCGCAAGAGTTTTTACGATACTCGAGTATCCGTTACCTCGGTAAGAAATTCCCCAAAGACCTCTTGTTACACTTGTACGAGTATATCATGCCCGCTCCCTGTACCTGGATGTCCCCTATTACGTATCTGAACACCATGCTGGGTGTACTTGTATACCGCATCTACTTATTAAATATACTACCTGGTATCCGCAACAAGCTCAGCCTTCCCAAGATAACCTCTTGCCTGGGTAACATTACCGTATTCCTTCTCGGGATGTTTTGTATCTATTGTAATCGGGGGGAACCGAAGCCGATTCCAGATACTGGCTTTGACCGGTAAATCCCGTACCGGTACCTCCCTAGACATACACTCACACCCCGTTATCCCGGACGGCCAAAATCTAAAGAATCTGTCCGGTACAGCGGGTTATCCGGAACAACGAGTCAAGTTTTGCTGTGGAAATTTTTGGAATTCACAACATTTCATACGGGACAGCGAGGTATCCGTATTATAGAGATCCGGGGCAGCGGGGTTTGAGTGTACTTGTACAAGTAACGTTTCGGCCTCGGCGGCCGCCTAGAAGCGCCAGGCATCCGCCGCTTCCTTGGCAATCACCATTATTGGGTCACCACAGATGGCCCACATCCTTGGGCCCCTTACCCGCAGCCAACATTCACTTAGGCTCCGGTTGGCTCGCCAGCGATTGAGTCGTTTGTCGGTTCGAAAAGCAGTTTAGAGCTGTTACCTTGTGAAGAAATTTAGGGCGCGTTTTGCCGTCGCAAGGTCGAGGCCAAAATACAAGGTTGAGTGGTTCTTAAAGGATCAACTGTGTGGTGGTGTTCTCCCGGCACAAACTGCAAGGTTTGACATCACAAAATGGGCCTCCAAATTGCAGGGTTGGGCCTTTTGGTCTGACCCGTTTTTCAAAACTGTCATTTTCCCTGCCCACCCCTCCATCATAGAGACTGAACGAGAATAGGTAAGATTTGTCCGGGTAACAAGACAACCGAGCACTGGCACCAGCTAGCATCCCACAGTTCCCACCATAACAACATCTCTGGGTTCGTAATGCAGCTTCTATGGTGTTCTGGGCACTACACAACTTCAATAGCCACAAAGTTTATCCTGTCATGATTCCCCGAATGGGCTAGTGTTTTGACCTAGAATGAATGCTTCAGCAGCTGAGAGTACGGAATACTCAAGAACTTGTAAATTATTGGTGCTACTCCTTTGGGCACACCAATAATAGCTTCTAGTAAAAGGTGCACTAAAAAAGATGTGCTTGGGCTGGAAAAACAGAAACAAACGAAGAGATGGGTTGTGAAGAACACGCCAAAATCCTGAACGCCCCTTCAATGGGACAAGACGACAGCGCACTGTGGCATAATCCATTCTAAACCTTGCATTTCAACCGACCAGGAGCGGCAAAACGCTCCCTTACTCAATACTCACTTAAGCATGTATTAACCCCTATTAACCTAATTCTGTATCTCTTCATATTGGTCCAAAATGCATTTTGAATCGACAAATGACTCAATTGACGCCGAGCCTAACAGAACCTTACAAGTAGTGTCAGACGCCTAAGAGGAATTTTCCCAGTAAAATCCATCACGCACCAAAGGGCAAGAATAAAATCACCTTTCCACCAAGATGCCCGGTAAAGCCGTTGAATGACCCAGTCCGAAATCCAACTGATCAGAATGCCATCGACCAGTAACTGGAGTGTAATCGCGCTTTCATCCCTCACACCCATTGGATTCATATGGTATCATACATATTAAGATTCGGCCATGCTCCCAAATCCAGCAGCAGTTGTCGGGCCAATAGGAACTAGTATGAGACTAAGAACCAAGGGCTGAATCTATTATGATATTCCTTCACAGGGAGAATTATGCTACCAACTCGAACACATGGGTGCCAAATATGCTCTGAGAAACACAAGCATCAATTCCCCATGTCACACAAAGTGCTCGTATCCTTCCCACATTCTAATTTCAACCCGCCCCCATCAACCCGTCACCCCCGGCGAAGAAGGCCAAAATTAAAATGCCAATCACGGGCCTCCGAAGGGAGTTCAAAGAGACCCCGCACACAACCACCGAGCAGTATATCTCTTCCAGCACTTACTCGGCCCCCTGGTAGACGACCGAAAAGGCAAGATCCCCACACGGGACCTATCCCTGCGCACACATCCCCCCCGCCTACAAGTGTCATGTCAAAGAGCGATGATAAGCCATAGGCAGCACACCGTCACGCATAGCCACCTCAGCGAGTTACGAGTGGATAGTTGAAACGTTGCCCACAGCCGGAGCGAACCTGAACATCAAGCACAACACCGGTAGCGCCGTGCTGTGCCCGCCCCTCCGCGAATCACACAGCATGATCGCCCGCCCACCTATACTACCGGTTTTCAAAAGTATCCGGATGCCTTGGCATTTATTTTCGCCTGGCTTGGTGCCAAGGCATCCGGATACTTTTGAAAACCGGTAGTACTACAAGGGCAGCCGATAGGTAAATTCGTCATATGACGTATGATAAGTAAATGCACATCATCGTTCTTCCCCTGGCTATGCTTCAGGTGAAGGTTACATCTACCTACCGCACCCACAGGAAATGGCAGGGGAGAAATAACCAGGAAGTCTACACTCGGCACGGGTGACCCCGCTACACTGATCTATTATAACCTCTCTTCCGTCGGTATTGAAGGACAAAGGTCCACATATACAAAATCCGTGATTAGTGCAATAATAGCCAAAATTCCGATCCACAATGTACTCGAGCACCAGAGTGAACGCCAACTGCGCCAAAACTATTGTTGCTTAGTCAATAGATCTTGAGTCCATCGCACTCGTTCACCTAGCAAATTTATGTCGTACGTACGGTACAGTATACTGCGAATATCCAGGAGAACCCGTCTCGCGCCCACCTAAATCCCACAACTTTAACAAATGACTCTAGTATCATAGCCCATTATAAAAAACGAGCTATGATACTATGATAGAGGCTTCTGATTCACTATCTGGCGATGATTTCCCCTGCCTAATTACTTGGATTTCGCGCGCCATCAAATCTGGGTTTCGGGAGTCCTGCCCCGTAAATCCAGTAACATAACGACGGTTTCACGCCCCACACATCGTTCCCGCACGCTTAAAAGAAAAGACTGCATTACTCACTCGGAGAACAAAAATATCTCTGCCCCCCCCAACTTAAGGGCGCCTACCATTCACCGCCTGATGTAAATTATCTCCCCCAGTAACGAGAGCTTTGCCGGTCCGGTATAACCACAGCCTTTGCTGCTGAGAAATTAGGGCAACTCTATTTTAATACCAAGGGTAGGATACGTAAGGCATAGCTACCTATAGTAGGCCAAATATCGTCGGACAGGTCTCTTAGGATTAGGACTCTTGATTTTACTAGATCTATTCGGAAAGAAAAGAAAAAAAACACATGCGTACATACCGGTGTCTAAGAGCGAAAAAATACTCACACTGGAGTAGTCCTTAACGGGTGACAGGCCTTCCCTCTTGGTTGAGAGGGAGCACTTTGGTCAGGGACCTCCCGGCAGGAACAATATCAAGCGAGGCACACAACGGGTGGAGCCAACACCTCAATAATTATTGCGAACAAATTTCTAAATTATAGCTCACGCCAGGTGTTTGCAGGGCCAAGGCGGGTGAATCGGGAGAATCCTTTACCATTGATTTCTTAGAAAAAAACATGCCTAGGCTTAACCTCCTCACAGGCCGTGTTTTTGCACCTATTATATATAATCCCAATCTCATTCCAGACGGAGGGTTTCCAGACATGGCTGTAAGAATCCCGACACTGCAAACACCTCCTCGATTATCCGGTGTCCAAATAACACTTTCATATTGACGCTTAATGCAGTTTAATCATTAAAATTCACAATCTGGTTTCCTATTATTATTGCATAAACGTATGAAATAGGATCATAAATTTCTCTCATGTGCAATAATTTAAATGGGCACAAAATTCACAAAAATGATTTATTTCTAGGGAAAACGGAACTTTAACTACGATTTGAGCCCAGAACTATCCTCTCTATGCAGAATCAAAAGCTAACCCATCTCCTGTTGCATTTGCCCCGGGGCTTTATCCAGACTGCACAAGCCATATTTCAAACCCCAAAACGTAACCAGAAACAATCACTTTTTATTTCTGGTTCTGGGAGGAGAAACCTTATATGCTAGAGGAATTGCTCTTGGTTATATCGTAGTCATGATTCAAGGTTCTAGGGCTATATAACTTACATTTGGATACATTTTTAGGAAAATGATAAAAATTGCCAATAACATGTTAAGCAGGATCATCCCCAGTGCTCCAGCATGTGATAGAGTACCCAATAGCCATCTCAGAACATATTTGATTTTCAAATTAAAACAATATCAAACCTATACTAATTATCAAACCTATACTAATTATCAATCCCAAAACCCCTTTACACAGAAAGATAGCCAACGCCAGGGAACACCTGGAAGTCACCTTTAACTATCTCTAAACACACAATTTATTGTTATCATGATACATGATTTGATGAAACACAAATGGTTCATATATCTGTTATCATATCATATGGGCATGATAAAACCATACCAACTATATTAAATGCAGCAGGAACATGTATATGCCTATAAACCTATGCAGCCAAACCAGATAACCTAACCAAGGTTGTCTGTCTTGGCAAAACAATGTGTCAATTCAGTATCAGATGATCCACAAAATAGAACCTTGGCCGAGACCAATGCACGGAAATTCATAGAGGAATCGATTGCCTTGCAGCGGAAACATCAGGAGAACCCGGAGTACCTAGAGGAGGAAGGTCAGAAAAGCTGGAACGGTGAAAGGTGATGAATTAAGGAGCTCCTGGCGCAAGAGCAAGCAAAATATCGGGAGGGGCCGGAAAAGCCTGCAGCTGAAAAGATTTTTTTGGAAGAGTTGCATGCAGCAGAGACGAGAAAACGTGAGGAAGCCGAGAGGAAGCGAGAGGGCAAAATGGAGCAGAAGGCAGGGGCAGCGACCACTGTTGCAGAAAAGGATATATTGGTTATGGAGCCCATCAAGTGTATGCTTTCCAGGTTACGACACCGGAGGACGCTTGATCCACGATACTGATGGACGAGAACCTGTGAACAACCCCTTCCCCATCACGATTTATTCCTAATTTAATTTCCCCGGCGGCGCCGTGGCTCGTCCGAACACAACCGTAGAATGGCTACTACGGGGATGGGTATCAACAATTCCATTAACTACCACGGAGGGTACTATCGGTGCAAAGGCCAGGACTCCGTCAAAAGAGGCTCTCACAAGCTCGCAATCTCCAAAAAGGTTAAACCTAGGGGGGTCTGTGAGCTCCCAACTAGGTGGCCTATCCTATGTATGGGCCAAGTGCCGAAACTAGAAGTTTTTGGAGCTGGGGGGGTAGGACGTGCGAAAGAAAGGTGGAGCTTGCAGGAGTGTTGGAGTACTTTCTCCGGCCAGATATATGGGGGGGCTCCTGCTGTGCAGCAAGTTGGTTTCTATGTACGGTTTTCGTCCATCCCTAGTGTCAGCGAGCACTAAGAACGCTTAGAAAACGAGAATTCCATTATGACACCTTGTGCTCTGCTCTGCTGGGCCATCGCTCGCGGCTCTGCTTCTCCATCTTGACGTACCGAAAACACAAGGCGCGTGGCCAAAACAGCCAAAAGGACTTACGGCCCCAAAACTGGAAAGGATGTAACCCCATACTTCAGGCTTCTTCGCCATGTCTACTGTCCACCGATCAAACCTTACCGCCCGCTGCATAGTGGTGGGTAAGTTTTTATGCCCGAGATGCTAACTGCTAGCTGTAGAACCAAGACAATATATACTCGAGCACAGCAATCCTATCACATATGAGCAAGGAGGGGAGCACTCTTGATACCGGCAAATACGGGCTCCCATGATTCACATTACCCCGTGCATTCAGAGCACAAATTATTACACAGCGCCTAACTAGCAATGGTAGGAAGGAGGAAAAACGGGGTCTCAACCCTTCTTTCAGAAACCAGTACATCACGGGCTGGGGATAAAGTACAGTATCGTACCTGCTACCACACCACACCACCCCGGATCCCGAACCTTTGATGCGATATAAAAACATTAAATGGGGTGGGACAAATACTCAGCCACCGAGACCAGATAGACCTTCCCTTCCGGGGACTCCAGAATCGCCTATGACACAAAAATTCACCAATATCTCCATGTCCAAGGACCCCCCATCTTAAGGCGAAAGATGACCACCGGCGCTTCGGGGATTGTTTCTTCAGTGCTCAGATTGTGAAGCACAATGAGGAGTTAACTTAGGCCAGTTCCCGCCCGACGGGAAACCTCGCTGGCCACCCAGTATTCCGGCTTAGGCGGGAGCCTTCCCAGCGAGCCGGAGAGCAATTTTTTTTTTCCGTCATCCAACCACAAAGCAGAAATCCAGAATATGGGTCTTTTTTTAGTCACCATTATTCCACAGAACCTCCAACAACGGGGTCTAATCCCTGATTTACACACCCACAATATAAAAATTCAATTTTCTCTAGAACCCGAATTCCCTTGACCAGAGGGGGCATCAAAGAAACCTCCTTGTACTGTATGATATCATACCGACACAGAAGTTATGATTACCTCCCTAACCCGTGAAGAAAACAACAAACCGTTACCACAGGATACCTATCATATGTACGAACAGAGCTAACATATACCGGTATCATAACCAAAAAGGCGCGGTGTTAAAATTCCCACGTGCAACAAAAATCCCGAAAAAATGGGAAAAGAAAGGAAAAACACCGCTTTTATAGCGCGCCGATCCTAATTCAAATCATGATACTAATAAAATGTCGTATCTAAACATCGCCCCTCCAATACTTTTACCCACCCGGGATACGAAGTTGTGACCACCAGTACCGGCACTGTACTACAGTGAAACCTCCGTTATCTCCAGGACGTGGGGAGACTAGATTCCCCGGAAGTAGAGTGGGGATGGAAAATAGAGGAAAGGCTTGGCAGAATAGAGGTGGGTGCTGAGAGAAAAATGAGTGATAGTTCATGAAAGGGTACAGGTTTTAACTCCACATGTTTACATTCCAGAAAAATAATACACCCCTTCCACCTGATGACCCTTCATTCTAAAAACAAGCATATCCATCCAACCCACTACCCAGTTATCTAGCAATTTGTCTGCAGCTTTGCCCAGGAGGTGACATGAAAAAGAATTTTCTGCACATGAAACCTGGAGTTTAGGAGCCATTTACTGCCTTGAAAGAAGAACTAATAGAACCCTAGAACTTAGAGGAGGAAAGCCCATGGAATGAAACCTGTCCCTGGCAAGTGATAGAAATACCGGAGACCTGGAAACATCGGAGGGTGGAGTTATCGGAGGTTTCACTGTAGTACTTCATTTGAAACGAAATACCCAGCCCGTGGACCATCCCGGAGGTCCGAGGCGATGCGCCCGGTCCCGGGCCGGGCCATGATCGGGAGGCGTTCGGGAGCAGGGAGCAAGTTCCCGCAGGCGGAGTCGGTTTAGTCTACCGCGAGAAAAACCTTTCAGATACACAGTAATACCATGAACTTGGCGGCAAAACCCTTTCGGACACCACCCACCAGCCGGGAAATAAATTTATGCCATCGAAAGTGAGGTGTTTAGCAATCTTCCTTACAGTTCTTGGCAAGGTGTGAACCACCCAAAACATATTACCACTTTCAGGCAAGAGCAGAACACCTTAGAGAGGCTACCGGTATCCGATTGTAGGAAAAAAATCTAAAAACACAACAACTAACTTTGTTTATTTTTCAAGTTTCTCGTTACAGTTTTCATGATGGGCCAAAGGTAACTACTAGTAATCAATCGTGCTCAAAGGTTTCACTTTTTCGACGGTCAACGAAGGGTTTTTGCTATCAAGAGCACGGTATCCAAAAGTCTTACCCGTCCACCACACAGCAATGTCAGGGGTATGATAGACTATGAATCCAGTCGGTTGCGGAGAGCACTTCCTTGGCTGCCGTGAGGGTCGATCTCTATCACGCCGTTACGGAAACATACGGTAAAAGCGCAGCCACATCCTGGCTTTTCCCGATACAATTACCGGTACTCGAGTACTCATGACAAGGCACGCGCATTTCTCTCCCGCAACCCCCCCTGTCCGTGGCCCGGAATAACTGTTTACCAGGATACCCCCCGCACACTCCACCCCCGTGATGCAGCCCCAAGAATATCACAAACAATCACTCGTGTAACTGCGCAGTTTTCGCAAATCGTTTCTATTAAAAAATCGCCTTCTCCTGCGATCGCACCATAATATACTCCGAGATCCCCCTCTCCCTATCACGGTCATGTTCTCACATTAAACAAGAATGAAAAGAAAAATTAGGAATAGAGGGGAAAAAATCGCCTTCACGCCCAATTGGGCTCAGACCTTGATTTTGACAAGAGCACGATAGACAGGAGCTGCTAAGTTAGGGTATTAATTATTTTCCGATGGTAAGGAATAAGCGGTCGCCAATATCGCCGACACTAAGAAGGGTAAGCCGGACTGGTTATGGTGCGAAGGAGGATTAGGGAAATATTCGTACCCAGGAACAATCATTCCCCCGTTATCCCCCCCGAGCTCCCTATCGATAGCTCCAACGACCACGTCGAGACCTTCGCCACCGTTTTCGGTAGCGGCCCGGGAAACGCCCTCTTCGCTGCCGAGAATGCTAACCACAAGAATCTATAGCAAGGTGCAATTAGTAATGCGTAGGGCAGAAAGAGCAGGCTAACAGAGGGAAGTAACCTTGGGAACGCCCCATTCCCTCAAGGTCTGAATCGCCGCCTCAGCGGTACCGCCCGTAGCGATAACCGGATCGAGAACAATAGCGATATCACAAGGGGAGTTCCTCTCGTCCTTGGACGAATCGGCGCGTGTAGGCAAGTTGTTGTAATACTCTACCGGCTGCAGAGTGACCTTCTCCCTAAAAAGGCCAAGGTGGTGAACGGGAGTGGGTTCCGGAAGAAGGGTTTGAAAAGCTAATGAAAAATGGTAATCGTTAAAACTAAGTGCTAGGACAGAAGAAAGGGAGTGGACCGACCCTCTAGCATCCCAAGACCACTGCGGAGAATAGGAACAAGAGCAATGCTCTTGGTAACCTTCTCAATCTCGTACGTAACACCGAGAGGGGTAACATCCTTCTCACCAGTCTTCTCGACGGTGAGGGCGCGTGCAAGAGCTTCGGTCGCAAGAATCAGGGACAGCTCGTGAACGAGCGCCTTAGTTTCTTTTGGAGGTGTAGAGGCTGAACGGAGAAGACTAAGCTTGGAAATGAAGCAAGGGTGGGAAGAAACAGCAACGTTCGCAGGAAGGGGGGACATGATGGATTGGCCGTCTGAAGTATAAACTTAAAAGGCGATGGAAGAAGAGGGGGAACGAATAACGGTGCAAGGCGGTGGTGGGTGGGTGGGGGTAAATTGAGGGAAAGGGTCAGGGAGCTTTAGGAGATGAGGGAAGAAGGATCAAGAGAAGGATAAGGACGCCAACGGGGAGGGAGAGCGGACGGATGGAATGTGCCGGTAGTGAGGAAGCAACAAAGGGAACCAGTGAACTGCAACCCTGCTTAGAGCATCCCGATAAGCATGCAGCTTGAATCAAAGGGCGGATCTCGAGAATCTCCATGTGCTAAAACTGCACCTCGCCTGCCACACGCGAAAAAGTAAAGTCCGTTTACTTTACTGTGACCCCACAGTGATGAATCCTACCTGTGCTTCAAGTCTCTTCACCAGCAGACGGGATTGATTGGCAGACAACCTCCGGAGCCTACCGGAAGGCTTTCCCAATCCACAAATGCAATGTCGAACCAACACGCTGCTACCACTGACCAGACGGAAGCCGTTGCTTCACCACTGGGGCGCCAACTCTCAGTGAGCGCGGAAGACCTCCCACCCCGTCTCCCCCCTCCCCCTCCGCCCCAGTTAACCCAGCTTGTCCAGCTTCACGGCTACCTGATCATCTTCTCCATACTCGGAACCCTCTCCCGCATCGGCCTGGTCTGGATAACAACCTATGAGACAAACCCCCTTCCGCCCCTCTTCTGGCCACAATTCGCCGGATGCCTACTAATGGGTTTCTTCCTTGAGGATAAGGCGCTCTTCCCCGCGGCCGCAAAAACGACAGCACCGCTATATCTCGGCTTGACAACCGGCTACTGCGGCTCCGTAACGACTTTCTCGTCATTCATCCTGGGCGCGTTTGAGGAGCTTGCTAATACCGCACCGGTCCGTGCCAATCGAAGGATAAGAGACGATGTAGCGGCCGTGCTAGCGTACGTTATTGGCACTATCGCGATATCGTTAGGTGGACTACAGGCCGGGGCTCACTCAGCTATTTTCTCTAAGGGGCTGTTGAGGAAGTTGCGCCTTCGTTGGGCGGATACGCTGGCCGCGCCGATTGGGCTCGGGGTGTGGGTGGGGTCGGTGATCATGGCGGTATTTGTCAAGCGGTGGAGGGGGGATGTACTGTTTGCCTGTGTATTCTCCCCACCAGGAGCCATCCTGAGGTTTTGGGCGTCTCGGTTGGGGAATCCGATGTGGAAAGCGTTTCCTTTGGGCACGTTCACGGTGAATATGTTGGGCACGGCGGTGCTGGCTGGGTTATTGGCCGGGAGATATGTGCATTCGGGAGGAAACACCTGTGATGTCTTGAGGGGATTGGGCGATGGGTTTTGTGGGTGTTTGACCACGGTGTCTACCTTCGTGGTGGAAGTTCGAGGCCTGACGGGTGGGTTTCTGCGGACATTGTGAGGGGAACAAACCGCTGACAAGGAGGCAGCTGGCCATGGCTATATTTATGCCGGCACTAGTGTTGTGGTTGGCCTATGCTTGACAATATTGATTTTGGGCAGTTACGCAGGTATCCTTTCCCTACTCGTTGTACTTTTGTGGCTAACGGGAACGCAGACATGGGTTCATGGAGCAGGAGAGTTGGCATGTTAGAAGTAAAGCGCGCTGCGGCCTGTAAATATTCGGTCGTCTGACCTCTATTGTATACCAAGCTGCGCCCCTTAATACTGGCCGTCCTACGTATTATAGAGTAGAGATATGTCAAATTGAAGTACCGCACCAGATCACCCCCTCGCAAATTTTGTCGCCCCACAATTCCGGCCTGGCGGATGAATATCTAGTGGGGCTACTGTTGAGGGCTATAGAGAATATAAAATGCGGACCCAGGAACGCCATTCCCCCATCCAGGTTGCCGGGCGAAATGAAACCTCTAATGTGATCAACCCGCTGTCTTCTAGAGGAGCTCTCAAGAGTGTTTTCCGGTCGAGGTGACAACATCCACTCCCCCAAACACTCGGTCCTTCACAACACTGCTGAAGAGGCCAGTGATTTCTTCGGAGGCAATCTTATTACTATCTTTGACAACCTTATCGAGTTGCCCTTCAGCTTGCGGCTTGCCGGTTACACTGGGGGCGAGCAGCGACGATCTATTGCTCTTACCAGCTCCAGAGAGTAGCGAGTGTTCTGTCTTGTGGATCTTCTGGGACAAATCGACCATCTGCTTTGTAGAGTAATCGCGATTGGTAAACAATGGTGATTGCGATAGTGTTGACACCCAGTATTTATTCCATAGAAGATCGAGGAGGTGGGTATCGAGGGAGGATTTAAAGTGGGAGACCTCAAGAGTGTAATATCTGCCCATTGTCAATGTTGGACTCGTTTCCAGAAAGGGGGTAAACATACTGGTTAGTATGGGCTCCAAAATCCTCGATCTTCGCCAAAGGGATAGTCTGGTATTCTCCCTCCTCGTCGCTCTTCCCCTTATGGCCCTCGGGATAGGTTCTGAAAGCTCCAATATCCACTTTCCCAGCGGATATAGTTCTATCCGGATCAATGACCACGGCGAGGAAGGGATCGGTAAATTTTTGCTGGTTCATCTGGGTGTTGACATCAATCCCCGACAGCCAGCATCCGTAACCTGGATGAGAATGATACCAGCCGACGATGTTCTCCGGGCGCTTCTCGGCCTTTTGAGAGTCGACATAAGCTCCCATGTACTCATAAGCTTGCTCCTGCGCGTTTACACGTGTCTCCGTACCCTCCACCGGTAAGGGGAAGGCGTCCGTTACGATAAAGGTCTCGTGGGCTATTTTTCCTTGCTGATAGTTGTCAGGTGTTAGCGAGCACGGCTAGGAGCGGGGGTAATGGGGAGCTGAGAACAAACCATCAGGCCCATGATCTCGATCGAGCCGCCCGACCGAGCATGCATAACCATCTTTAACAGAGCAACAGCAGAAATGCGAACGCGTTTAAAGTAATTTGGATTGTCTTTCCATGGTCGTTTCTCGCTCAGCGTTCTATGCGATTATTAAATGTTTGCCATCGACGCCTTAGACTGAAGCTCAGGAGGAATGCCCACTTCTGTTCGGTATCATCGTAAGCGTAGATACCATCTTTGGTGGGATCAACCAAGGTGATACTATTTTCGAAATCTGACCATCAGGAGGAAAATTAGCGAAATTGCGAGAAGGATAATTCAAGGATCAAGGGGGTCCTCCGAGCTTACCGAACTGCTTTCTGGCCGAAGATTCCATGATGGGAGAGATGTTGTCGTAAAGGGGAAGGCGGTGAGGGGAATGGGGGATGCTTGTGTGATGCTCCCAGTATGATTCCGGCAGTTTGATGAAGAGAGAAGCTTGGACCTAGGTTTAGACCCTCAGAATACAGAGGCGTTGTGGGTGCGGGGTGATGCGATATGATGGTCGCGCGAGTTAATCAGCCGAGAGGCTTAAAAAAGATCGGCCTGCTTGAAACAAGGCTTTTCCCACAGCTTCCCTGTCCCTGCACGGTAAACTACGGGTTGCCCTGACAACCAATAACGTCACACAGCTCCGAGCGACAACAACAAACCTCGAGCCCTCTTTATCCCCAATGGCCCCGAACAGAGAGAGGAAGAGTCGTTTCCTTCCTCTACCACCTCTCACGCTTCCTCTCCCTCCCCACTAAATCTTGCCTCCTCCCTCTTCCCTTCTTGACTCGTTTATGGGATTCGTTCCCCTTCTGCTTCCTTTTCTTCTTCATCTTGATAAATTTATTGCGAGAAGGCTCCCAAGTGAAACAGACAATTTCGTAGAACAGAACGGGTAGCTCCTAACTCTGTTCTCTGTTTCAATTCAAACAACCACATTCTTTTACCACATAAATATTCCGGGCCGGGCAGTCGGTCTACTGAAAATACTTTGTCCCTTTCCAACGGAGCATACATTCCTCTTCAACGCGCCACCGATAAACAGAAATCCAATACAAAGTACCGTAACGTTGCAGATATGACGACTAAACAACAGTCTTCCCTGATGGAGGAAGTATCAAAGGCGCAGGAAACTCTGCATGGCCTTTTTGATGAGATCGGTCTTACTAGATATGACCGAGAGGGGCGGCAAGCAAGCTTATTCGCTGCATTAAACACAGCTCTACAAGACCAAATGCGCTCTGTTATCGCGTATGTTCTGAATTCCGGTTCCTTCCCTTTTTTCTGCCTATCACTAACAAGTGCGAAGGGAAAAAAATACATTGGTTGAAGAATGCAACAAGGTCATCTCATCGATAAAACAGATGGAGAAATCGCTCGACGATAAGAAGAAAAAGTCTAGCGAGGAATTGAAGATCACTGCACCTTTGCTTAGATGTTTGGAGGCGCTTCGGGGCAAGCAGGAGGATGTCAAGGCAAGACACGCAGAGAGATACGAAGCTGTCAGGGGTAAGCCAATTCTCCAACCCTATTCCGACATTACATGCTGATTGCGTTGTATTAGGATTGGCACGTTCAGTCGAGGAATACGCCAGTCGCCTTGAGTCGGGCATAATCCAGGTCCCCTTACCGCCCGCAACCGATGATTCCACATCTATTGGCGCATTTGACCTATCATATGCTTACTACGAGCGCCTTGATAGTGAGTGCAACCGTATATACAATGAATATACTAAGCGCGTCGCCAGCGTTACCTCACTGGCAAAGGACATCATCAATCTTTATGCCGAGCTTGGCGCAACAGGCTCGGGCGTTGACAGGACGATAGTTGAGTTCGGAGCCACTGATCCGGAGAAGCTGGGTTTGAAGCTGGACGACTTGGACAATCTGAAGGGAAAGAAAGAGAGGCTCGTCAATGAAAAGGAAAAACGTAAGGAGAAGATTGAAGACCTCAAGCGAGAGATTGGAGAGTTGTGGGACAAGCTGTGTGTAGAGCCTTCTGACAGCAAGAGATTCCTTGCACAAAATAGAGGCTTTGGTCTTAAGGTTATTCGCGAGGTACGCAAAGCTATACCGTTCCTCTTTTAACCTTTGCTGACGATTTGGCCAAATATAGTTTGAAGCCGAACTCGACAGGTTGTTAGGACTAAAGCGCGAGAATCTACAATTATTTGTCGAAGATGCACGACAGGTTTTGCAAGATCTCTGGGATAAGCTCTATTTCTCCGACGATGAAATCATGCAATTCCAGCCGGCCATGTCAAGTTAGTTGCCCAGCCCTAAATTTTGAGTAACCGAGAACTAATTGGATCGCAGATGTCTATACAGATGCTTTGCTTACTTCTCACGAGATGGAAATCCGCCGTCTGCAGCTTCTATTGGAAGAACGCGCTCCAATAATTAGCATGATCGAGAAACACCGTTCTCTCGTCAACGACCGCGAGCAGCTGGCTATTTCAGCGAGCGATTCGTCTCGTCTTGTTTCCCGTGGCGGTACTGGCAATCGCGACCCTACCCGTCTTCTGCGCGAGGAGAGGATGCGAAAGCGGATCGCGAAGGAACTTCCGAAGGTAGAAGTGGAGTTGAAGAAGATCCTAGAGGACTGGGCAGTTGAGTGCGGCGAACCATTTTTGGTTAACGGAGAGCCATACTTGCAAACCTTGATTCGTCTGAGCCCTGTTCTTCAGTCAAGAGTGGGGGCTAAAGGAGTCGCTCCAGCTCAGGCGACTGCCAAAGCAGGGAAATGGAATCCTCCAGCTACAGGCTCCATTCAGCGCGCTAGATCTAATACCGCGGGATCTGGGCATCCGAGACCTCCCTCCCGGCCAAAGACTCCCAGTGGTCCTCCTATGAGATCCAAGACTCCTACCGGAGGATCTGCCCTTGTGTCTGCGTCGGTCGGTAGATCGGGTGGGAGAAGTGTAGCCGCATCACTCAGCAGGTCCAACAGTGTCAGGACCCCAGTGACAAATTCACGTCCTCCGATCCCTTACGCTTGTGCTTCCAGCGCTTCCACCACGTCCAGCAACGCTAGTTCCGGCTCGAGAACCCCGACCAGACTTCGTGCTCCAGTCTCGTTGTCATCGTTCCCGGATGCCGCCCCGCCCGACAAGTCCACAACCAGACTCGTCCGCTCCCAGTCTGTCAAGCAGCTTGAGCGCACAGGTCTCAACAATACACTCGGGACTGCCCCAAGAATGGGCCAGCTCCTCCCCTCCCAACCCATGGGCCCACCGCAACTCCCGCCCTACCTCCGCCAGCAACAGGAAAAAGATCGTGAGAGAGAACGCGAGCGTGAATTCGAGTCCCAGCGCCACTCCAGCACCGGCCGAACTATGGCCCGTGAAGGCACAGTGATGAGCGTCCGCAGCGTGAGCCCGGAATCTCAATTCGGTGGTAATGACGACGACGACGATCAGAGAGATTATCGTGAGGGGACACCCAGACAGAAGGGCTATCCGAAGCCTCAGGTCAATTGCTCGAGTTATCACGAGTCCTCGTCGTCAAATGGAGATAACGAAAGCACGCGCACGTTCTCAGGAAGCTCCACTGGGACAACCGCCACTAGTGCTAGCTCCAATGAGAATTGGCAGACTTTCGGCGATGAGAGTGAAGAAGAGGGGAGCGTTGCTGGGGGTAATGATGGGGGTATTATAGGGGGGGATACGATGGATATCCTTCTAAGCGTGTCGGCGGTGGCGGAATAGCCATGGTGAGAAATGAGGACGAGGCCGAGCGGCGGGAGCGGGGTGAAGCTCTCGGGAGATATTAGATCTTTCGTACTCGCATTCTTGCTTACTAGCGCTCCTTCTTTCTCCCTTGTTCTTTTTCATTCATTCATTCATTCATTTTCGCATGATGGTGATGATGTATGATTAACTCGGTAACCCACCTACCTACTTTTCTATATACCTACGCATTACGCAACGAACGGCCTTTATGCGAATGAGAACGACGAGCTTCATTCACTGTATCTCTATCTCTGCACTTTTTTTTTGTTTTCCAGTGGGCCAAGGCTATTTCTTGTTGATGGAGGCTTTCGCGACGCCCCTTTCTCTTTTTATTTTTATTTTTGAAATAAAAAAAAACTAAATATCCCCCTCTCAATTCTTGTCCCTCGTCACTTGAAGTTATTCCTCCAGATTATTGTTTTCTCCCTTCCTCAATGTAACATTCTTATGTCATCCAGTGTATCTATAATCTCGGCGTTTAGTTTTCTTTCTTCCTTTGTCCTCCTCTCCCCCGTCCCCTCCTCGTTTTCTTATGTCTGCATATCATCATACCCACCAATCAGGCCTTTCTCGTTTTGACAACCAACTATTGCCACCACAGCCCCATCGTGCCTTACGCATAGTTCCCCACCTCCCCCAGCCTATTTCTCCGTATTTCCTATGTCCTTCTCTGCCAATTTGGTTTCTTCGCTCCTCTGCCTATTTTCAGTGTTTGTTTGTTTGTTTGTTTTGTTTATTTCCAGCGATTAAAAGTATTACGTCCGGGACGTGTCGTCTTTTTTTATGGAGCTTTTTGCCTCAGTTACTGTTTCTTTGGTTAATTTTAATTCATGTATAATAAATATTTATTTCTTCCTCTTTACCTCTTGCCGTGCTACCTGGCGTGGTGGGAGTGGCAAAGGGGGGGATTATGGATTTAATAGATTACATGATACCAAGCAAGCATCTACACTAGGCCCTCTGAGGCCCTGCATTCCGGTAATTTGTGTCATAGTATTGCTGGACCCATTTGCTACATCCAGGAGGCCTCCCTTCAACCATTTCCCCAGCACAGCTCAAGTAAGTAGAATAGGGTACTTGTAAAGTGAAGAAGAAGAAAATTCCCTACTTAGGATAGTCGATGAATACACAAGCAGCAAAGCATAATAAAAATATTAATGGAATAATAAACGAAAACAACCCCTTGCATTAATGTCCCATCCAAGCAATCCAGATAATATCAGTGCCTAAACACAAGCTACTTTGTTTGTCCAACCTCCTGAACGCCATCCAATCCGGACACAGCTTGAGCAGGTTCAGGGCCATCTTGGAGCATTGGATCCACCGACTTTTTGCCGAAAGGATTGTTCGCTTCAATGTAAAGTTTGGCTACGTACAGTATCCAGTGATCTGATACATGTTTAGTATTATTCTAAGAAGCAGTCCATAAATGCGTCATATGTACCATCACTGCCCCGATAAATGAGACTCCAGCCACCCAACCCAGGACACGGGTGCCCCTCCTCAGCTCCCCTATACACTCTTGTAGACTCTCTCTGAGCACTGCCATATCTGATTTAAATTCTCCTCGGAGAGCTGCCAAATCTGATTCAATATCTCTGATGCTGGCATCCATCCTAGTGGAAAATTTTCTAGTATCCTTGACGGCACTGTCTGTTAAGGCTCGCGAGTCCTAACGAGAATCAGTACCATAAACCTTTAGCGCCTGATCTCTTATCAATATAAACTATACTGTTATCCATGCATACGTATCATCGCCCAACCTATTAACGGGGCTCCACTATTCGGCACATTGTTTAGTGGCCCGCACCAGCGATCAATTGTTGGTTAACTTACCAAGCGATCGGTTTCTCCGCTAGCATGCTCTTGGGTTTGTAGTGCTTCGGGCGAGCTGTGAATATCTCAAGTACTAGTTTGACTGCGAGTAGGAAATCTAGTGCATCGAGGAGGTCGATGGACAAGCGGGCGAGGAACTGAGGGAACGCGTCTAGCAAAGAGACGGAGCATATTTGTTTGTGCGTGCGGGTTGCTGATGGGTTCTGGTTTGTTGCCTATCGGTGCTGTCACTCTATTAGTACTGAATGGTGTTACGGAAGGACAGTGTTTGCTCCCCAAATTCTGGGGGAAACCGTGCCTTTTATGCACATCGTGCGACCATGAACCCGCTTCATATCTGCCCTACCATATTACCATTTAAGGGATAGCTTGCCAGATACTGTGATAGCAGGGGCAAACACAGTAACGGCACACGGGGCGACAGCACGAGCTTCGACGGGCGATGAGATTGAAAGTTGCTTCCAGCCATATATTTCATCAGACCGTATGCTTCTGTGCATGATGTGATGGTGAGGGATTTTGTCATGAGAGGACCGGAGGGAATAAGGTGTCCAATCCATCCATATATGTACCCCCTAGTCCGCCCTGTATGGCACCTACATATATACAGCATGGGCACCATTCCTCCCTTTATACTCGCCCCCCCCCCCCTATTGTGAAACGGTCAAACAGCAAAGTTCAAGATCATGCAGCTCTGAGAAATCACAGAAAATCACTCGCTTGATTTACATCCGCCCCAGATTTTAATAAAGCAGGAAAAACTTCACCGAACGTAACGCGGAGTTCGAAACACCTGAAACCTTGTTTTCAGGACGTCATCCCCCGATAGCGCTTCCTGGTAAAACAGTAATGTCCCGATAAGCGCCCCTCCTCTAGTGTTACAGCCACCCCCACAAAAGCCTTCCCTTGCTCTTGTAGAGCGGTGAAGATTTAAAGGCCCCCGAGATAAAGGAAGATTTTGTGGGGAAATATATTGCAACAGGCGTCACTAAGCCTGAATTCTTCCTGCTCCTGGAAATTTGAGGGGTAGAACTGGCGGGGTGGTGGGCGGGGGTTTTTCAGGTCCTGAGAGGTTGTGGGCCCCTTGGGTTAATGTCATGGCATCCTATAGAACCATACGTTCAATAGTAATCCTCGAACAATTTCAACAGAACACTAAAGTTACAGATCGTCACTCTCACAGGTTCGATCTCCCCACCCGTATCCAATCTCTTCCGATACTACTTAGCGAATAAATAGTACCGTAGCATTCTTGTGTTTTACGCCTATTAAATGCCTTACAAGTGCCTCCTGGATCACAAGTAATCCGGGTTAAGAGAGAATTGGGAAACTGTCAAGGTAATTCAATATGATCCCCTGGACAGCACTTTACCTACATTGGTGGAGAATATTGGTGGTATAACGCAGCATTGCCCTGAATAAGGTGAATCATATGTACTGCTTTTGGGCACTATATCAGTAGGCCATTGGCTGCAAAAGGTTTCTTTCCAAAATCATACCAGATAACCTAGAGCCCATGTGGGATTACCGAAAACCACTGAAGAAAAATCGCCCTCAAGGATCAAGCTCTCTCGCCCACCACACCTTTAGCCTGACCTTACTGTTGACTCTGGAATAAACACTTTATTGTTTCTCTATGCTGGACTAGCACACATTGATACAGCACTATTACAATCTACCTATTTACTATGTTAGGGGAGAAAACTCTCTCGTTTGATATATTCCCCAAGAATACAATGCCTTATCTCTAAGAAAAGACTGCACTGATCGCTTAGCATGGTTTATGCGATATTAGAAGCAAATAGATAAACAGCCAACAATATTCCTGTTTATCACGGGCATAAAATACTTTTGCTAAATTCCTAAATCGATATCAGTACTCATAAGAAGCACGTGTCTGCTTGTTTAGACAATTCCTTCAGGAGGGGGGCTTAGATATGCGGAAGTGAGATCCTATGTTACCTCACCGGATGTACAATCATCACACTCAAGTCCAACATATTTCCGGTGCCTATCCCCCCTCTAACGAGAAGGTACCAAAGACCGCGTAGCGGGCTTAGGACCAACGCTAGCATAGGGAACAAGTACCGTCTCGATGAAGGGAAAATCTGTATATATCGATAGGAGCCCACTGTCAAGGCGCTGTTCACATTTTCTGGAGAAATTTGGCAGTGGGAATGCCAGCGCTGCAAGGGAAATGTAGCGCTTAACTAAGGTCGGAAAAGCGGCTCGAAAAACTCGGGTAACACTGGGAAAACTTATAAGCGGCCAAATATTATCATGTCAGAAAAACCTGGGGCCAATAGATATAAGATAAACACTAGCTATTCATGTGCCAGCGAGCGGGAGGGCGCCATACTAGGTGAGCACTCGTCAGGACCAAAAACATACCTTCAGGAATTGAATTTGTAAATATTGGAGATCGTTTGCTAACGGCAGTCAACCACACATGGCTATTTTGAGAAAACACAGTTGGTTTACAAAGTCATCAATGGTGACAGGGTGGTTCGATAATAAAAGATTATCCTCATAGGCCCCTCTCATCGGTATTCTTACTAGAGGTCCTGTATAGCATCCAGAAACTGCAGTTACTTTTCCAAACCAGGAGGTGCAAATAAAAAAAATCCCTCCTTTCTTCTGCTGTCCCCATGCGATAGGGGCATAGCCAAGAGTCGGATACTATGATACCACCTCGTAGCAGCTCCGGCTTGACCTGCAGCCTCATTGGAGAAGGCTACGGTCCCCAGTCTCCTAGTTCCCTGGTCGGCAGGACTTCTTAATTTTCCTACTCTACGGAATTGTTCATTCAATAACTCATGGTGAGGAAACTAAACCCCTAGGCTCCCTCTAATTGCAGAATAGTTAATCGGTTCTTGAAACATTGACCACTGAGCCAGCTAGGTATGATATAAAGCAGGGCCTAATATATCAAATCCGAGAGAACATTTTTTGATATGAACATTATCCGTCCCACCGACGGGGTGATTCCTCTCACCACCTCGAGACAGATCCCCCGTATATCCCTTCCCTCCCAAACTGGCTCTTTCAGATTTACTATCATACCGTAGTATCCCTACCCACGAACCCACACACCCAGATAATCACACAAACGCAATAGAATATCCTAATAGGCATCCTCC